CAGAGTTTCCAACTGATATGCCCTCTGGCTGGAGAGACATGAGTTGCCCCGATGGAATAACAATTGTCAGGACAACACATTCTTTTTAAATTTAGTGGTGGAGGGCGAGGGCAAACCCATGGATCTGCAGGGGAAAGGTGAAAGGCAAAAAAAGGAGGGTACTCCCCCATCCTCACCTATATGACAGCTCAGTGCCTACAGGTGCCAGGCTGTAAGATGATCCCAGTCAGCTCCAACCCCCTATTAAGCATATACCTTTGTTTCACAATATGGAGAGGGTATTCAAGGAAGGCAGTGGTAACAGGCTCATCAACACCCTGTCTGTGGTTTATGAAAGATGATGCAGAGTCTGGCCATCTCACCAGTCCGGCATTTACCACACCCACCATGAATGCAAAGTTAAAAAAATACATTTGAATGCAAATTCCACATTTCGGTGTGTGGAGGAAATGATATGGAACCTTTGTGGCCTCAACCATCCCAATCATATTGCTGATTTACTCTGGATAGTACTTGTACAATTTCCAGCTCTTCTCCATAGCAAGAAAGATCACATAACTTGGGCCTTTGGTCCCACAGTGCTCTGGCACTAAAACAGGGGTGGCCAACCTGAGCCTGAGAAGGAACCAGAATTTACCAATGTACATTGCCAAAGAGCCACAGTAATACTCCAGCTCCCCCCACCCCACTCCCAGAGCCTCCCGCCTACCCGCAGCCCCGCCAGTCAGCACCTCCTCCTCCCTCCCCACACCTCCTGATCAGCTGTTTCATGGTGTGCAGGAGGCTCTGGGGGAGAGGGGGAGGAGCGAGGGCATGGCAGTCTCAGGGGAGAGGGCGGCAAGGGGTTGAGTGGGGGCAGGGCCTGTGGCAGAGCCAGGGGTTGAGCAGTGAGCACCCCCCCGCACATTGGAAAGTTGGCGCCTGTAGCTCCAGCCCCGGAGTTGGTGCCTATACAAGAAGCCGCATATTAACTTCTGAAGAGCCGCATGAGGCTCCAGAGCCACAGATTGGCCACCCCTGCACTAAGAAATAGTGTGAATGGGCAGTCTTCACCCCAGCCCCAACACATACCCCCTAGAGTAGTATCCAATACTCAATCCCAGCTTTACCCCACCATTCCTGGATTTTCTTTATTCTTAACTTAAGTACACACAAACTATAGCCCAAGCTTCCTCCTGAGTTGGCTGTTTCTAGAGTTTGACCTCGCAAGACCTCTTGTCCCACCTTTGGCTCCCCTCTTGCCTTGAAAATTGTCCACCTTGTGTTTTCCTAAGTTAAAGGTAATGAAACCTATCTGGTCTGGCTGCCAGCATGAGCCAGCACAGCATCTCTGCATTTCCATGCAGGAACCTTAAACCTGACTTCCCATCACAAATAGATACTGTGCACACAAACACAATCCATTTGCAACCTATCCCACACAAATATTTTGTTTCCTTTTATTAGAAAAAAAGGTTCTGGGCTGTGCTTTCCTTTAAACACATCATAATTCTGTTTGGTTGGTGGGTAGTGTTAATTTTATAATTTTTTCTCAGTACACATAAAACTCAACATCATGCATTTCAAAGAAAAAAGTTTGCAGAATTCTGATCATGCACTAGATGCCTACTTTGGAATTTAAGTCACAATTTACCAATTTTCTTTATATTTTAAGAATAAAGTAACTACACACACTGCTGGAATTTAGTCTCAGCTGGCATTACTTCTTTAAACTGGAATAGCTTACTTTTGCTCGCACCCTGTCCACCAGTATGTCAGAATCACAGCTGAGCTTTTTAGAACACAGCCTGAAGTTATTGTCCCCTTTTCTGGGTGGACTAATCTTTGCATTGGGGAAACACGAAGAGCTGGGGGAGTATCCAAAGTGTCTCACGAACTCCATGAAGTCAAGGGTATTGTCCTGATTTGTAATTAAAGTTTCCCACAGCCTGCGGATTTCACCTCGAGTTATTTCAGGTTGGATGTCAAACCTTGAATCAAAACATTGAAAGAGACAAATGTAATGACACTAGCAACAATAGTATAATAACTAGTAAGAAGAAAAGCAGAAAGTTATTCTGTGTACTGGCCAAATCTCAAAGTGCTTACTCAGCAAACTTCCAGTGCGGTCATTGACGCCATTGGGAGTTTTGCTGAGGAAGGACTTCAGCTCTACACTAAGCGATAGCAGAATGGTAAAATGATGAAAGATTGTTATTGCTTGCTGGAAAAAACCCTCTTGGCACAGGTGCTGGAACTAGGGGTGTGGAGGATGCTGCAGCACCCCCTGCTTTGAAGTAGTTTCCATTATATACAGGGTTTACAGTTTGGTTCAATGGCTCTCAGCACCCCCACTATACACATTGTTCCAGCACCCCAGGTCTTCAGCTGGTGGAAATGAGTGTAATTCCATGGAAGTCACCATCAGCCAAGGATCTAGCCCCAAGTCTTCCCAGAAGCCTCAGAAGCCAGTCTTCTTACCGCTTCAAGAGAAGGTACATAGTCTCCTGAGTGAGGCGCCGGGAGTTCATTTCATCTAACTCTTCAAACTCTTTCTCTATTGCTTGGTAGCGTTTATTTAGCAAGCTCTTAATAATCTTGAACAGCTTGGGGGGGAAAAGGAGATAGGTGTGAAGGTTTATAAACAGAGAGACTTTATTTGTAATTATCCTAATACAAATGTCTCCTGGAGTTTTTCTTTCAAACAAGGAGTTCTCTAGTCATTGGTGACTACGGTCTCACAACAGCATGATTTCACTATTCCCTCCAGAATTCACAGGAATTATGTTATTAGACAGGATGCAGTCTCAGGACTTTTCCACTGAGCATGGAAACCCAAGTACAATTAAGAGTTACATGAATTTTACAGCTATTCAACTGGCAAATATCTTAACATCTACACAAATACCCACTCCAACTGCTTAGCAGCTAGAGCAGGCTGCTATTGAATGGGAAATCTTGGTTTAAGTTGGACTGTGCATTCTATACTCCTATACACTTGTTACTTTAGTAATTGTCCCATATCTCCAGTTTTGTATCTAATTTTCATGTGTAATAACTTTATGATGTCCCTTGGAGAGCTCTAGGTAAATTATGTCTACAGCTTTCCAGCACTAATTATTTTCTCTCTTACTTCCTCATTCATTCTATCAAATTAAAGTGACACAGGGCTCAGTCCAGCAAACATTTACATGAGAATTTATTTCCTTCATTTTATTTATGGACTAGTCTCCTCAACTTCAATTTGTATTATTTTTCTCTGTATTCTGGCTGGCCATGAGTTCCCATACAGATGACTTGTGCCAGGAGCAACAGTATTACAAACTATGGCCCTGATCTTGCAAACACTTACCCCAGTGGTTTTCAACCTTTTTTCATTTGTGGACCATTAAAACATTTCAAATGGACATACGGACCCCTTTGGAAATCTTAGACATAGTCTGAAGACGCCCAGAGGTTCGTGAACCACAGGTTGAAAACTACTGTCTTACACACATATTTAACTTTATGCACATGAGTTGCTTAATTTTATTCATGAGAATATTCATAAGTGTTTATAGGATCAGGGGTTAGCAGGATGCACAGTGGCTGTGTCTTGATCAGTGAGTCTGTGGACCACAACCTCTGACTTTTCCCCCTACCCCACAACACCATTTTAATGTGCAGAGGAGGTTCTGTAGAATGTTTGCTCTTATTATTATTTATATAGTACCATAGGTGTGTATGGCATTTTACAGGCAAATAAGATGGGGCCTACATTTTGCTCTCATTTGCATGGCTATAAATCCAGGCGTACACCACTGATTCCAGTGAAATTACTCCAGGATTTATACCTTTGCATCTCGAGCACATTTTGGCCCATTCGAAATGGCAGCTCTGTGTAGGCACACATGCATTCCTGTGTGGGTAACTGAATCTATTGTCACCACAATAAAGACAGGATGGAAGAAACTCGTCCACACTGCCCAGTCTGTAGTGAAACTAGGGAGGACCTAAGGACAAACCACTGGGTTTCATAAACCCAGTGCGGAGGCTAGACTATGCCTCTGAAGTTGGGACAACTAGGACAGGTGGTTCTTGGCTGCCATCCAGAATACAGTTCATAGGCTTCTTGCAGAATTTTGATCAAAAAGGGGTCAGATCAGGATAAGCATCAGTTAATTATTGACTTCTTGAGGGCCCTTCCAGCCCTACTTTTCTATGATTCTATAAGGTGCTCTCCAGAAAAAAAAAAAAAAGTAGGGTTACAATAACGGGTTGTGTGTGTGTTGCCTGTACCTGCCTTGGAGTTCTTCCACAGGTGTATTTCACTTTCTGGTTAGGGATATTTTCTTTCTGTTTCTGCCCATCTTTGTCTTCGTTAGGCTCACACATAGAATTTGTAACAGATTTCTCGTCAAAGAGACTAGGCAACCCTCTGCTGAAAGAGAAGACTGTTCATTTAGCCTGCCTCTTGCCCCATCATCCACTGATGTCTTACAAGAAAGTTAATCCTAGGGCCCTGCCTGCCCCCTTGTCAATGTGTCCAAATCCAGGAAAATGTCCAACGAGGGGGAGCCAGCACAACTATTTCATAGTACTACCCACCTATCAAGTATCAGGGGGTAGCCGTGTTAGTCTGTATCTACCCGCCAATACGGCTTCATGCTATGTTGTTCTTAAAGGGGTAAATATAAGCATTGCATTGCTGTATATTTCATTGTATGGTTTTCATGGATAATACAGTTGGCCAAATGCCAGCCTGATTTACACCATGCATAAGCCCGGGAGAGTGCCTGCTACCCCTGCAGGGCATACACGAGGGCAAAGTCCACACGCAGTGTACCTGAAAGGGGTGGCTTGTGCTTTATACTTTCCCCAGTGGGAGCTCCAGGATGTGTTGTGCATTTAGCCTCACACAGCCACTGCTCTTAGCCAAGCACAAGGACTGTATGTGGGCTTGGCCCCTGTGCTGGGATCAATGGGGCAGGGCACAATCTAACCCAGACTAGGTGCATTTTCAAAGTGAGGTGCAGGGTTTTAGCCATGCAAATCCCCTTGGCTTTAACAGGAGTTGCGTGACTAAAACTCAGATACAAAAAGCTTTCAGAAAAATAAATCCCAAAGTGAAAAATGCTGAGAGTCGAGACAGAACCTCCACCAGTGACTGGCAACCTGTCCTGACTTTCTAACTGTGCAGTGTCACCTTCACCGAGTGCATTTCTCGAAATGTGTGTCATTTACCACATAGCAGGCTGTAAAATAGATTTTAAAAACATCAAGATTCTCAAGACAGTTTAGAACACAGAGATATAGGCAACCTACATGGTGGGCACAGCTACACCAGCAGGGTTAAAGGGGAGACAGTCCAAATCCATCCAAGACCTGAAAAACTTGACATACGTAAACCCTACATGCATTAGATAAAGAGGCCAGAAAGAAAGGTGCCCCCTAATGAGTTTTTTTTGCGCTTGGGTGAGCGAAAGGGCTGCTTCAGGAGGCTAATAACTGAAAACCTTCCAGGCTTTTGTCCGGAGAAATGGCAGGCACTTTCCATCCCTTTGAAAAAAAGAAGGCCTTTCGGAGTCTTCACGAGAGATGTGGATTTTAGGGGCGACCTTAGGTCATACAGAACTAATCAAGCGAAAACAATAAGAAAATTAGCCTGACAGTCAGCAAGTATCTGAGGACTTTATCAAAAAGAATTAGGAATAGACAAATTCACTGGGAGCAAAGGATCAAATCTGCAAGGTGGCATTGTGTGGTGGGATTAAATTATTTATTCATTGTTAATTTATTTATTTATGTATGTGCAAATGACCTCGCTGCTGCAGGTGCTGAGGAGTTTCTGAAAAGGCCCAGTTTTAGAGCCAAGGCTAGAATATTGGTCCATTTAACTCATTCTTTTCCTTAAGGCGATCAAACAGTGACTTTTATCTAGGAGATAGAGGAGGAAAAACCATATGTGTTCTTGGAATGATGTGGCGACTGAGCAGCACTAAGTACCCAAGTATTTCAGTCTCATTCAAGAACGCTGGGGGAGGCTCCGTGCAGTTTAATGTCCAGCAAATTAGCAAATGAATGCTTATGTCAATATGTGAAAAATCCCTAGTTGATTTAAACCGATAAAAAGCCTCTTGGGAAACAGAAGAAAATGCAGGCTTTTTCTTTTTTCAAAAAAAAAGAAAGAGAAACAGTACTTAATAAGTTTTACTGAAACTTACAATAGTTGCAGGAAACAACAGTTGTTTACATGGATGCTTATATATGCATGAAATATTTCCAGTGCTGCCATTAGAAGAAATATAAGAAGCCTTTGCCAGCCACTCTTCAGATCACATGTTTACTATTTGGAAGAAAACAGCTACAATCTGTGAAAGCTATAGAGCCAGCTCAGATACCATCCTTGCTACCCCTCTCTTAAAGGCACAGGAGGTCTAAAGACTTGAAGCAGGTCAGTCTTTATATTCCACCCTGCCTCCTGTAAGTTGAAACCTGAAGATGTAATAGATAGGAATCTTATTTTTCTCCAAGTTTAGACAAATAATAATAAAGGGCGAAAATTGTCATCTCATGTTGCTGTTGACCCAGAAGAGCAAAGTCACAGTGGGGATTCTGTGTAGGACATGACCCTGGGGAAAAAAGGAACACAAGAACTCAGCATGGGGGTTGAAGGCAAGAAGTTACACATATTGAAAACGATAGCATCACATCAGTTAATGCCCTGTGATGGGAAGTCCTGCTGGTTGTGTGTCCTTCTGTAGAGAAATATTTGGAGTTTGAATGTGCCTGGTAAGTAAATCTCTTAATTAAATCCCCCAAGAGTTGAAAGTACTAATAAGAGATGGCTCATCACGGCAAATGTCAATAGCTGGTGTCAGAGTTTGTAAAACTGCACTGCCCAACGAGAACTGAAATCTCACCTGAATTTAAGCAGAGATGCAGGCTTATAAAGAGCAATAAGGCATGCAACACATTTGCCTGCTTCTCTCAAAATATTTCCCATGTTTTGGTCATTCTCAGAGCTTTCACCATCATCCCAAAATAAATGTCTCTATGTCAAACTAAGAGGAATAGATGGTAATGAGGCCACTAAACAGTGTGATATTTTCCCATACTATTAAATATTAAATTTAAGGCTCATGGCCAAAATTTCCAGGACTCACCTGAAAACCTTGGGCACCTAAGAGCCCTGCTTATCACTAAAATATTAACTCAACATTTTATTTGAGGGATTGAATTAAATCAGTAAAAATGCCAATAGTCCTATTGCTATTTGTCTTCTGAAACCCTTGCAATCTGTCAAGGAGCCTTCTGAGATGTTACACTATTATATACGCTGTCAGAGTACCGTGCACTAAATGGTGCATTGCAGAACCTGTTGAGCTTGAGCCAGATTTTCTGTAATATGCTTTGATGTGATATTGTGTATAGCAGGATAACTGCTTCTCATTCATCAAACGTATTCTGTTAGAGCAAAATCCTAGCCCTTATTTAACAGTCTTTTGTTACTGAAACTTCCACACATTCAACATACAGAATACAGGATTTAGCCATTAATGAACATTAACAACACTCTGCATTGCATCCTAGGAAACTGTCTTGGTGTTACAACACAAAATCCTACTGAAATCAATGGGGCTTTGGGGGCCAACTTTTCAAACACGGGTGCCTGTGTTGCACCTCCAAAAAAAGTGCTACACCTACTGCATGTGCAAAAATTCACATTTCTGCATGAAAAATGGCTGCTGCATGAGCCACAGATTTGTGTGAGTGTTTATGTGTATAACTTTGGCCTCTACAAGAGTTGTAATCATTATTATAGGTCACTAATAATAGGTAAAGTTTATTAACCAGCAATATGAAAAGGAGCTATAATATCTACACAGTAGACACTTTTCAAAGGCAAACAAACCCTGCCATGCATTTATTTAGAAGGGTCTATTATACAAAAAGGATTCTCAAGTTCGACCCTAAGCTTCCCTATAGGCTTTAATTCAAGCTGCTAGCAAGTTAAACACCAAGTTGCTGAGTCTTAACTGCTATTTTAACTGAAGTCAGCTAATACAGGTAGCTAACCCATGTTAAGCGCACATCTCTTTTCTGCAGTTTAGACATACCCTAAATCTGCAAAGCTCTGCATAAAATTGGATTAATCACAGAAACAAAATCAGATTCTTACAGCGCAGAAGCCTTATCTAGCAAAAGTCAATTTCGAAATCTAACCTCATTTCCTGCTTCTACATGTCATTTATCCGCCAGTAGTAAATATGAACACACGGCGAGCTATTAGCTCTGCCAACATCATTAGCAAGTTTTGGCTAATGGGTGGTGCAATGAAATTATGGGCTTGAATTCTCTGAGCTGGGCTCAACACAGGACAAGAAGGAGATGGGGTTCAAAGGCAGATTTATGCCATCTTTGCAGCTCCCCAATACTGGAGTCAGCCCCTGGCACAGTATGGAACAAAGGAGTCCCCAGACTTCAGTGGAGTTTTGCCCATTTACACTAGCAAACAGTTCAATAGATGCTTTTCCAGCAACTGCAGATACCGAAGGCCCAGTCATAAAGAGATTTTGTAAAATAGTGCTCATGTTCCAGGAACATGCTGATGTCAGTGAGGTTGGAAATTCTGGGGTGTAAATTTACCAAAGGGGTCCCCCCACCTTTAGCTACTCTTGGCGGGTGTAAACACCAGCACCTATTCACACACACTCAGGAGGCTAACATCTTCCCAATACAAGCTTTAGGATTTCACCCACACAACCCACTAATCTCAGTGTGTTTTGCTGGTGACATTCTAAGCATGTGTGGGCTGGTCTTCACTACTGGGGAGATCGACGTTGCTGCAATCGATGCAGTGGGTGCCAATTTAGTGGGTCTAGTGAAGACATGTTAAATCAACGTCAGAGCGCTCTCCGGTCGACCCCGGTACTCCAGCTCCCCAAGAAGAGTAAGGGAAGTCGACCGGAGAGCGTCTCCCATCGAGACGGTATAGTAAGACACTGTGGTAAGATGACTAAGCTACATCAACTCCAGCTACGTTATTCACATAGCTGGAGTAGTGTAACTTAGGTCGACTTACCCTACTGTCTTCATAGCGCTGTGTTGATGGGGGACACTCTCCGGTCAACTTCCCTTACTCTTCTCGGGGAGCTGGAGTATGGGGGTCAACTGGAGAGTACTCTGCCATCGATTTAGCGGGCCTTCACTAGACCCGCTAAATTGACACCTGCTGCATTGATTGCAGCAGCGTCGATCTCCCCAGTAGTGAAGACAAGCTCTAAGATTGGGCTCAAAATAGGTGCCCTGTATGGTTCATTACTATTAAATGCCGAATATCCTATAACTTAATTTTTTGTTTCAATTCTTAATGATCTGTTTCTAGGGGAAGCAGTGTTGCCCAGTGGATAAGACACTGGACTTCGATTCAGGAGACCT